CTTTCCCTTGTGCATGAGTTTGACCCAATAGAGAACTAGAGCATTTATGTTTAACTGGGTACTTACATTTACCAAGAAACACATAATATAGGCTATAGTAAGGTGTAAATATCTTCATGTGCAATTACATGGTTGTTTGGCTTTTAAAAAAAATCAGTCTCTCTCTCTCTCTCTCTCTCTATCTATCAAAGTAATTGCTAGGCATGATCATTTCTTAGCACATTTTAATATGATCCTTTTTCAGTAACAGCATTAAATAAAAGTATTTACTTGTAACAGTAAGACAGATTGCATTCAGACATCCAAGTGCTAGACTTTGCCTGACCAAAGTATTTCTAATTTTGCAAGATTATCTTTAGAATAATGGATGATGATGGTCCACATGTCCTCTGGGATTTTCTTTACTGAAGTAACAAGCAGCCAATTAAAGGATCATGTTGCTTTTCATGTCTTCTAAAAAACTATGTTTTAAAGAACCATATCTAAGAAGTTGTAGGGTTCGAGTGTTGTGGCCATGATGGTCCAGGAAATATTCTTTTTGGTGGTATCTGTCTTTTAAGGGTCCGACTTTATAGTTGGAAGAGATGTAAGACATGCTTTCAGACCCACAAGCGTGCTCCTTTCCTAGACCTGAAGAATGGCACTTTAGCTGCTTACAGATGTAAAAAAACCAAAAAAGTGCTTTACTTTAAACTTTGTGTGCTCCTGTGCCAAACCCAAGCATATGCCCAGAAAAGGCATTGTGTTATTTGAACCCAGCTTGCCCAATGTCTGTATAGATCTGGCACCTTAGTGGGGCTTTTTGGCACTTTTATCTAATAGCTGATTGAATCAGTTTTAGATAAAAGTGCCAAAAAGCTCCACTGAAGCACCTGATCAATACAGACGCTGTGGAGCCAGGTTGAAATAATGCGCTACTTCTCCTGGTAAAGTGCATTTTGGGGGGATTTTTTTTTAAACATCTGCAAATAGCCTTTGTTCCTGAAAGCTTGGCTAACATCTGTCCCAAATATACAGTTGGTCCATTAAAGTATCATCAAAAACACTTTGCCTCTCATAGAAGGTACTTAAGAGTCCAGGGAAAGGCATATGTGCAAATAACTGTTTCTATCTATCCACTCATCCATACAATATGCAAATAGGCATGTGGTTGCATGCAGCTGTGTACCTGACTTTTGAAAGATCTGGCCTATAATACATAGATCAGTATATTACAATGTGAAGATGTAATATACTGATATGTGTAATATATAGATGTGATTATGTATTGGCATATTTTGGCACAACTACCTTTTTGTGTTTTGTCCTTTGAATATATCCAAACCTGGAAAAGGTATTATTAATGTGAATGAAATACTCAAAAGAACAAGACTACATTATGAATTATGTATTACAATGACTAGATATAAAAAGTGTACCAGAATGTTAACTGAAATGCAGTGCATATGAAATAATACTTTGACCTAGAATATAGTAATGAAAATCCAGGTTACAAGCAAGAAAACACAGATGTAAAACAAGGACTGTACAATAATGTTTATTGATTAATTGTATTTCCTCCTAGAACTCAACAGTGCTTATAATACACATGCTACAACTGTTTCTTTCTCCCTACAGTACTTGGGGTGCATAGAGGTCTTACGCTCAATGAGATCTCTTGACTTCAATACAAGAACACAGATTACAAGGTAAGACTTTCTGCCAATAAATGTACATAGTTAACTCTTGGATTGTATCCAAATAGTCAAGCTTATAACTGGAGAAGAAAAAATATATAATGTAAAGTTCAGGTATTTGAGCCAGTGGTATTTTGCATTTATGAGCGAATGTCTTAGATCTTCCAGGGAACACAACCAGAACAGATATCAGATTCAAACCATTCTCTTTTAAAAGATAAGTATATTCATAATGAGAATCTTTTTAACTGACTTATCACCTATTTTTTACCAACATAAAAATGTTTTTAGTTCTAACCCAGGTGGCACATTTTGATTTACCTTTTGGAAGGATAAATGATATTAGTTTATAATAGTTCAGAATGGCTTATTATAATTAAGTGTGCCAGGGTTCTTTATGTGAATATTAACCAAACCTTGCTTTAATTGTTGTCCCTTTTTTTCCCCTATACATTGTACTTGCATTCTTCTTTATTAACTAGTTTTAAGACCTGACTCTGGTATTAATACTGAACCATACTTGCTGATCTAAAGCAACATCATTGACACCTAGAGAGTGTTATGCCTATTTTGCTTTCTGAATATGTGGATGCTTTTGGCTTTAATTGTGAAAATGTACTTTTGGATTTTTTTCATTGAAGTAAGGCATATTTAACAACATGCTGGGCATTTTTTGTGTCATTGACCATATGTGGAACACAGAAAATGTCATCAAGGAACAAAATACCGACTTATTTTCCTGTTTTGATTGCTGTTTGCGATTATAGTTTTCCGATATTGAAAAAAAATGATGCTACATATGCAGATGCCTCATTGTGATCTATTAGAGCCTAATCCAAAGCCAGCCAAGGTCATAGGAGCCTTTGGATTAACTTTAAAGCAGTCACTAAATTCTGAACTTGCATTTTGCTCATTCCACTGATCCTCAAAATACCTAATGACTTGGATTAACGTCCATACAGGAGCCTACAACAACCTGTGCCTCATCTGGTCATTTAATTTCTGACATACAAGCCTATTTCTTATTAAGGAATCATATTTCCCAAAATTCAGATATCTGAGCTTCAGTCTTCATGGTCACTCAATTGCATTTGTATAGGAATGTTGACATGTACACATGCATAGAACCAGAAACGATCAAGACCAGATCCATGTTATAAAAGGGAATCATGTAATTCCCTTTAGCAAATTATCATGCCCTGACTGGTTTACTCTGCCTTTAGTTACAAATAAAACACCAAACCTCCAATAACCTATATTTGCTCTAATTGTAGTACTTCTATGTTTTAGTCATAATGGGCACATCTACACATGCATATTTACTGCACAGTAACCTAAATTACTGCTCAGTAACCTAAAATTACTGTGCAGTATGGGTGCGCATGTACAAGTGCATGCCCATACAGCGCAGTAAATATGGTGATTTAAGCTGATTTGTGCATAAATTTGATACCTGCATCATGCAGGTATCAAATTTATGCCCGATTAGTTACTGCACAGTAATACTGTATGTGTGTGGACTGATTGGGACGAACTTTAGTCCCAAATCAGACCATGCATAGCATTAATACACCTTAATGCCTGCACGTGTAGATGCCAACCTATTTTTGCTGCAGTAAATTTAATGTGATGTAAATGCACATGTAGACACATCCAATCTGTATAAAATCCTCTCTATCTTTTCCTTCATAATTTACTAAACATTATATATGCTGTAGTGCTACGCCTGCCAAGTCAGGAATTGTCATTTTTGTGTGTTTTTTTGCTACTTTTCTCTGTACCCTTCAGAGCTGAGAAAAATTTCAAAATTCAAAAGCCTCAAAAATTGATAGCTGAATGTGTTACCCAATGATGGCACATTTAAAATAACATGATTTGGGGGTTGGGAGGGAGAGAAAAGTCTTGGATAATACCATATATTTGATCATCTATGTTGCTGAGTGGAAGAAAAACTGACTTCTAATTCACTTGATGTTTCTGTTCATCTTTAGGGTCAAAAAGTCACAAGTAGCCTTGTCAAAAGTAGACTCACAGAGTTGAGTCAGGAGGCTCTGGCTCTGCTGTGGACTTTCTTGCATCACCTTGGACAAGCCACGCCATCTCTTTGAATCTCATAGGGTTGTGAGACTAATTAAATTAATAATTATAAAATGCACTTAAATCCTTTGATAGAAAGTACTATAGAAATGAAAACTATTAATAACATTGACTAAGATTTTCAAAGTTGTCTAATGCAATTAGATACCGGAATTTCATTAGAAGTGTATGGGAACTAGGTGGGAATTAGATATCCTAGATGACTTAAAATCTCATCTTTATTATTAATCAGATAGTTAGACAGCTAGGTCCAGGTATAGGTAGGAACAAAACACACATGTAAAACTCTGACAGTGATTATAGGACCTGGCGTGAAACCCCAGATTAAAGATGATTCATTTAGGGCGGTGGTTTTCAACCTGGGGGTCCACAGACTATGTCTGAGGGGTCCACAAGAGGTGACTATGATCAACCAAAAGTATGTGAATACTCACACTTACAGTTCAAAGGAGTCTGGACCTTGATTCAAAATTCTTTAGAGGTCCACAAATGAAAAAAGGTTGAAAACCACTGATTTAGGGGGATTTCTTCTCTTGTTGGGGTCCCTTGTAGAAAACTTTTGTTATTTCACATTACTTTATTTGGTGCGTTATGCTCTGACCTTTAAATTGATTTCCCCCCCCCCAAATTTTTAAACATGTAAATATTCAATTTTTAATAACAAATTCACTTTTCCTGTTAAGTGAAGTCAGTGAGTGGGTGAAACCCTTCAACATGCTGTTAGTAAGGTACTGAGAGCCATAGTGCTACCCAGAAAGATTCTGTTCCTGGATGTGGTTTATAGAGAAATGAGAGGGTAATTATGAGTGTTTTTTCCTTCGTCACTGTGGAATTTGAAGCTCTCAGCTTTTACTTGAGCAAGAGAACTAGAGCAGTATCGGTCACTTGTACTCTTCTTTTTCTTTCACAATGTTCATGTGAATCTTTGAACTGATAAATGGATATTCAAGCAAAAGTGTCAGCAAGTGTGAATCATAGTAAAATAAAAGGCAGTTGAATTCATAAAGTGCATCAATAACAATCCAAGGGAATTCTTGGCACCCATGAAGTATGTTAATTTGCCTGGGATAAACAGAAAAAAATCATTTTCAACCAAGAAGAGGAGTATGCTAGATAACTGAACTAAAAGCAGCTGGCAGCTGGTCCTGAATACACCATGGCACTCTCCACCATCACCACTAAAAGGGGCCTTTAAAGTTTTGTGGCCAGCCTATTTGTGGCCTCAAACATTTTTATTTAAAAAAATCAGGTAAAAATATTTTTGCAACACATGGAGTGTTTACAGTTCATCTAATACACCAGTGTCCACATCTGTATGCTCATCATTCAGTCTCTTTATATTATGAGTCTCAGCTACTGTTGCATGCTTGAGTGTATTATACATTGAACAGAATTATAATTATGTTGCATGCAGTTTGTCCTACTACAGGTATTTGAATTACAAGGCTTCCATGCTTGTTGTTATCTAATTGAACGCAATTTCTTTAATGCATGCAACAGCTGAAAATCATACCTCACCATGCTGAGTGAAACATTGTGTTGCATGTTCTGTTAATAGTACATAGATCACAGGATTGGAATAACATGTATTAGTGATGGGCCTGAATCCTATCCCCTGATACTAATCCCCTCCCTGAACTTTCTGGGGCTGAAAAATTTGAAACTAGATCCTGATTGAAATTTTCTAGATGGAGTCTACCTTTACAAGGAACTAAATCAAAAGTTTAAGCATGCACTTTTTCTTCTGTGTTTCAGAACTGGCCTCAGGTCCACCATTAATTTATGTGGATTCTCACTAGATACAGTATTTCTTTAAACTGTATTTATCTTCCTTGCAGAAACTCATTATCAACAAGGATCCCCAAGAGAAAGAAAGCCATTGGAAGAGAAGAATGGCTCCATTATAGCTTATGAAGAAAGTTAGGTAACATATGCTACCCAACACATCCTATACATGTTCCCAATCTTGTCGCCTCCTCCTCACCCCTTTTGCTTGGAAAGTGCCATAGAGAGTCTCCAGTACTTTCTGTACCACAGGTTTTGAAATTGGGATAGTGGTGTAGAGGATTTGTATATACCCAGATTGGAAATCCTGCACAGCTTGCCAACGACCCCTCTGCCTGCTCTTTTATAAGAAGCTTCTCTTCCTTTCATAGTTGTGCACTTGCTGATCTATGAGGAATGCCAGGACTGCTCGCTGCTGCTTTCCTCCCAAGGGAGGACCGCAAACCAGGGATAAGGCTATACTCATAATCTGTAACAACAGACCAGGGCAGACAATTTGCTCTACTCTTGCGTACTCCTCATGGGCAGTGCAGCTCTTGACTATGCACTACTCAGGTTTGCAGTTGAAAGGGCACATTTGGGGCAATAGTTTTCTTTAAGTATTTTGTGAACCTCCAATTGAAGTCTGAAGATTCCTATTAGTATAAAGTACTGTAGTAATTTATTGCTCATGAGCTTCATAACCAGAAATGTGCTCAGTATGGAAATAGTGCCCACTACTAATATGTACCAGTAATCATGGATAGTATTTGGGTATTTAATGATTTATAGTACTAGATACATGTGCTCAATGAAGTAGAAGATACTGATGAGGAATTATTTTAATCTCTCCACATACATCCAGAAAGCAACATGAAAATATTACAAGAAAAATACTTTTATATGCTTTATATATTCAGCATCTACTTTTTAATGAATTTTAATAGCGATATGTTAATTAGTATTTGGGTTAATTTAACTAAAATATGGCAGCTTTATATTAATGAAAAAAAAGGGACAATCCATTCCTCATGCTTTTAGTCTCTGTGAGGGGAACAAAGGCATGGCTAAGGGTATGTCAACATTGTTTTCATGATGTCCTTGAGGGGGAAACTGTAGGCAGCTTTTGGCCCAAATCCAGAAGGGGGCTT